TGCACGATGATTAAAATATATTAAAAATCAAATAAATTTACATCCATTTCAGAAGGTGAAAATATTGAACATCCTTATTCCGCTCACTCCGTTATATTTTTATTTCCCTATCTGGTTCTACGGTTCTAAGGCAACTTATTAAATCCATCATATGATTTTTTTTTTCATTGCCAAATACACCAGGATAAAAGACTACTAATCTGAACTTAAAAATATAGACATAAATTATTTCTCTGGCAAATAGAACTAAATACACTACTCCCAACGAAGTTCTCGTTGAAAGAGTAATATATCCAAACTCATATGCCTTCCTTCATCCATCAACACCAGTTACTACAAGTTGCAGTTCTAGAAGTATACTATTTTTTTTAAAAGTTTGGAATAATACCTCGAATAAATGACTAAAACATAAAAGCAATGTATGCAGATATTTCAGATTTCTTCGTAAAAAAGGGGGTGCGCGTTATACGGCGAATATACCTAAAAATTATAAAAAATCAGCTTGAAAGTATAGGTGCGCGTTATACGCCGGATTTTACGGTAATTTATTCTTTCGGAGATAGATAGAAGCGTATTACAGATGAAAAAAATTCTTTTAAATTTGTTTTATTGTTAGTGTGCCACCAAACTTTGAAATTCTTAAAAGTGTACAGCAACAAAAAAAAGTTGAGAATCACTGAGGTGGATCGGAAAAGGAATAAGAGGCAACTATTTTTCTTTTCCTTTTTTTGAGGGGGAAGGGGGCATTGAGTAAACGATTATTTATATTTATAATAGCTTTTTACTGCATATATTCATTTCATTTCGGAAGCTTACTGTGATTGGAAAACGGAAAATTCAAAACGATATTTCTTTTTCTGTATTCTTTTCAAAGAACATCCACCTGAAAGAAAATAATACCTGTTTCAAATTTTCCTATGCCGAAAAGTGATCAGTAGTAAGAGTAGTTTAAAAAATAATTCCTAAGATTCTAATGTTGCTTAACTGAGTCTTTACAACAATTTATTTTTATTTACATTTTTTTAATACAACATCGTGTTTCGTCTATATGGTTAAACATGACTTGATAAAATTTTGCTTCTAATTTTTAAGTCATCATTTTTTGTTTTCATTAAAATTTTCTTCCATTTAGATTATTTATTTAAAAGCTGTATTGTAAGTTTTGTACCTCATGATTTAAATATTTTTGCAAGGATTTTACATGAAAATTATAGAAGAAAATATAATCATGTGTCTGTTTTCAAATTCGTGGTTAAATTCTAAAATAATAAATTATTTAATTTAATTTTACATATTCCCCAGATTAATAATTAGATTAACAGATTCATAATATAATTTAGCACTTTTTATTGAAGAACATTCTTTCAGCTTTTAGATTGATGCTTAACCCTTTAAGAGCGGTAAATTTATTTACCCAAAATGTTTCAAAAACAGGCATATTTTTTTACTGCCTATAACTAAACACCATACCTAATAGAGTGAGAAAATGAAATAATTTTATTTTGATTTTAAATTGTAAAGGTTTTACACCATTTTCTATTTTACATTTGTGGAACACAAAAACTCTTAATGTTTGCTTTTTGTAAGTACACTCTGCATGCTATGAAGAATGTTTCATATATCTTAGAAAAATTTTTATGTTAGTAATTTTTCGAACGGTCGAGGACAGTGTGTGCGTGTATGTGTATGTTTGAAATCTTGCAATGGAATCAGGACCAAAATTTTTCATTTTTTGGATTATCTTTCCATTTTCAATTCTTCTCAAGCAACAAACAGCACATTGTCTTGTCTAAATCATTATTTCCAATAATTCGGTCAGTGAGACTGTCTAAATTCTACCAGTGTGTCCCCCCCCCTTTTTTTTTTACACTAAACGACATTTAAGCGCCGTATAGCAGTGTCCAAAAGGGAGGGGGAAAATCTTTCTGCAATATTTTCTCCTCTTATTTGATAATTTCAAAGCTTATAAGAAAATACTAATATCATTGAACATTTCATCTGATGGATAATCCAGATAATTAGTAGACAGCTCTGAATATGTATCTAAATTTAATTCATCCTTTAACAAGAAAATTTTTTGGTTGCTTGTGTTATCCATAATTTTTAAAAGATGTCAGTACCCGTCTGAATGCAGTTTGCTAATATATAGTTTTTTCCGAAAATAAATTCATCAAAACCCTCATCTTACACGATAGAAAAAACAAAATATGTTTCTATATCATTTTTATTTTTAAAGTTGAAAAATAACAGTTAAAAACATTAGTTGAGATTGAATGCATTGACTAAAATTAAAAATGTCGTTATACTAAGAAAACATGTTTAGGATAATCTTTATGGTATCCGATAAAGTTCAAAACCGTTATTTTGCAAAAGCGTATAAATGGATAATATTTATGATATTTAGTGTCACTTAGATTAGAAAACGTACATAAAATTGTTTTAAGAATATTATTATAATAAAAAATTATTTAAGTACAATATTTTGACAAAAAATGAACGTAGAATGACCGATTTTCAAAACATTCTCCTTTTATGGAAAATACTTCTATTATAATAATATTTTACCTGTCTATAGCTCAGACCTCTGTACAGAGGCTGAACTAGAATTTTTGAAATATATAACTTAGAAGTGGATTTATCTATATTTAACTACAACAGAGGAAAGAAATGTTAAGAAAAAAACGCCAATAATTATTTCAATTGGTGGTAACTCTAAAAATAATGTGAATTTTTCAAAATCCTAGTTCAGACTCTCTGGAGAAGTCTTATTTTATATAAGCAAAAAATATTATTATTATTATAGAAGCATTTTCTTATAAAAAGAGATTTTGAAAAAAGGTTACTCTAAGTTAATTTTTTGCCAAAATATTGTATTTAAATAATTTTTTTGTCATAATATCCTTAAAACAATTTTATACCTGTATTCTAATCTAAGTGACACTAAATATCATGAAAATTATCCATTTATGCGATTTTTTAAAATCATGGTTCCGAACGTAATCGGATACCTTAAATGTAATGTCAATTCTTCAGTGGCTCAACAGCCCCGAGTGTGCCCTGCCTTTCTCACGAAGCTTCTCCAAGTCAATCATTTGTTAGCAGCAATAATACAATTCTTGATCCTTAAGGTATCTAAATCTCTTTCGATGCACTCAATCCATCTATCTTAGTTTGCGTCTTCCTCTAGGGTGAGTACCCATAGGCTTAGCCAGAGAAATTCGTAACGTTGTCCTCTTTCATGCGAATCAGATAGCCAGTCCATTTGATTCTTTGAATTTTGATAAAACTTACAGTGTCTGGGTTCCTTAAAGATATGGTAAAGTTCTATATTTCATCTTTTATACTAAGTTCCATCAATTTGCTTTTCACCAAAAATACTTTTCGGTATCTCCCTTTCAAAATATTCCCAAAGCTTGCTGATTTTTTTTATCATTATCCATATTTTGGATGAATTGGAAAGTATAATCTAATTAGACTTTTAAAGAACAATTGATATGTATTTCTTTTAATAAAGTTTTAATTTTCTGTATCCAAAGAAACATACAATTGGCAGCAACGATTCTCTTCTGGATTTCTGCCGTAATGTAATTTTTCATACTAAATTCGCTAAGCGTCGATTTCCAAGTGTGTAGTCGAATCTTTTTCTTTAGAACACAAAGTATATACTTAACTTTATTCCCTTAGTTGAAACGTGAACTTGGTTTTTCTCATTCTCTAGCAATTGTTTTAGACCCGTACACGTCCTTGTAAGAAAGTTTGTGGCATTTTGATGCTAATAGTAGAAATGCAATTAAAAACATTCACTGAGATTGAATGTGTCGATTAAAATTAGAGCTTACAGCCTACCCCATGAAATGATTCTTTAAATTTATATAATTTCAACTGAATAATTTAGAACTTTGCATCAGATAGTTTCCAAAGTTTTGTGTACTGTTGCAGGTCAAATTCTTATGTTTAGAAAGATCTAAATACAAGCTCAGATTAATGATGATTTTCAGAATACTGATATTACTTTAAGGTATCCGACTACGTTCGGAACCGTGATTTTGCAAAAGTGTATAAATGGATAATATTTATGATATTTAGTGTCACTTATATTAGAAAATGTATATAAAATTGTTTTAAGAATAGTATTACAATAAAAAATTATTTAAGTACAATATTTTGACAAAAAATGAACAGAAAATGACCAATTTTCAAAATATTCTCTTTTTGTGAAAAATGCTTCTATTAGAATAATATTTTGCCTGTATATAGCTCAGACCTCTGTACAGAGGATAAACTAGAGTTTTTGAAATATATAACTTAGAAGTGGGTTTATCCATGTTTTACGACAACAGAGGGGAGAAATTTTAAGAAAAAAACGCCGATAATTATTTCAATGGGTTGTAACTCTGAAAATAATGTAAATTTTTCAAAAAAAAAGTTCAGACTCTCTGGAGAAGTCTTTACTTTTCATAAGCACACACACACACAAAATATTATTTTTTAAAAGTATTTTTTATAAAAGGAGAACATTTTGAAAAAAAGTTATTCTAAGTTAATTTTTTGCCAAAATATTGCATTTAAATATTTTTTTTTTGTCAAAATGTCCTTAAGACAATTTTATACATGTATTATAATCTAAGTGACACTAAATATCATGAATATTATCCATTATTGCGCTGTTTTAAAATCACGGTTCCGAACATAGTCTGATACCTTAAGTGGTATCCTTTCTGAGGCCACTAACTTAAACTAACTTCCATTTTAAATTCTTACTATTAGTTCACGCTCTCCCTATATCTATCTTGTTCAAATTTTCAATCTTTAATAAAATACTTTTTATTCATCCACTCATGTGTTCAAATACATATTTTATAACTTGTAGTGGATGACACTAGATGTTAATACAATTTTTTCAAATATTAATTCATTAATTATATTTAAATAATGAATAAATTGTAACAAACAAAAATAATAGTCCAACACCATATATAAAAAGGAAGTTTGGTCGTTGTGGCCCTTTAGCACAATGCATAGCGCGTTGGACTTCTAATCCAAAGGTCGTGGGTTCGGATCCCACCTCGAATGGCCTAATTTTGGAGAATGTGATTTCTACTAACTATAACATTTTATTGAAATAATTAAATTAAATTAATGAGCAAATAGTAACAAAAATATAGTCCAACACCATATATAGAAAGGAAAATGGAAAATCGCTTTCTACACTCATGGACAAAAAAAAATTAGCGCACCAACAAATAATTGCTGGATTGTGTAACGAAACTTGGCATGAAGGTACATGTCGAGGAGATATGCAAATGATTAGAAACGCAGCGTGATTGCGCATTACGTATAGCCGGTACAGGGCGTTTAACGTCGTTCTCTGTGGAGTATAAAACAGGTAACCAAAGCTTGTTTGAGTGTGCTGAATCGTTTACAAAGAAAGAGCTGATGTAGACATGCCATTACGCCGTTTTCGAAGACAATATGAGCAGCTGTCGCAGTTTGAGAGGGGGAGAATCATCAGTATGATGGAAGCTGGTTTGTCAGGTAGGCGAGTAGATCATCAATTAGGCCGCTCTGATTGTGTTGTGAGGAGGTGTTGGGACCAGTGGATCCGAGAGATGCCCTTGACAGACCAGTCGTCGAAAAGACCACCACATCGTAAGAAATGCACGCGTACAGCCAACGATTTATCAACCACCATCCAGGCACAGGTAGTACCTTCACTAGGGACCAATGTGTCTTCTCGAACCATACGAAGGCTCCTGGTTGAAGAACATTTGGGGTCTCTGCGGCCATCACGTGTGCTGCCCTTGATGCCCACTCATCAATACCTTCGTTTGTAATGGTGCCGTGCACTAGGAAACTGGACTGAAGCGGAATGGAACCAGGTTGTTTTTAGCGACGAATCCAGATTCAATCTCAGCAGTGATGACAATCGTGTTCGTGCGTGGAGACCTAGTGGTGAACGCCTCAATCCTGCCTTTGTTTTACAGCGACACACTGCTCCCACAGCTGGTGTGATGGTATGGGGTGCCATTGACTACAATACACGGTCACCCCTAGTATTGATCCGTAGCACCATGACAGCCATGACATCCTGCAACCACATGTGTTGCCACTCATGTAACGGCTCCCAAGAGCCATTTTTCAACAAGACAATGCTCGGCCTCACATAGCAAGGGTGTCACAACACTGTATCCGCACTGTTTCTACCCTTCCTTGGCCTGCCCAATCCCCAGATTTGTCTCCAATTGAGCATTTCTGGGATCATTTGGGACGGCGAGTTGGGCATCCCATGAGTTTGAACGAACTAGAGGCAAGATTACAGCAAATATGGAATGAAATGTCTCAAAACATCTTACATAACTTATATGCCTCAGTGCCCGATCGTATCGCATCGTGCATTTGCGCTATATAGAGGGGGTTCAACAGGGTATTAAATTCTCCGTTCTTTTGCCTTTTTCTCTGAAATAAATAATCCTTTTTCTTTGATTTTCTAAGCATTTACTTATATAATAGTAGGCATTACGTATGTAAAATTTCGTTTTATTTTGACGACTCATTCTTGGTGAGCCAATTTTTTTGTCCATGAGTGTACATTAAAGCTTAAAAAATTATTTCTTGTTTTTCCCCCTCCAAAGAAATACTAGTTCTTTATAAATCTGTATTTATAACATACTTGTTTAGAATTTAGATATTTATTAACACCGCTAAAAAATAAACGTCAATGTGTAGCATTATAATTGTAATACATTGCGTTATAATATATAACGTTCATTTTAATGTGTCCCGAAAATATCTGTCACTCTTAAATTAAAAAAACACACACACACACATTTTTAGAATTTATAACAAAATTGAAATGTATGAAATTCATTCTATTTTACTTTAATTATTGATAATGTGTGTTTTTCGTTACAATTGATGCAATATTTGCTTTTATTCAAAGGTAATGCACGTTACTGGTTAATTAATTAGAATACAACCGCTCACATTTTTATAAGGATTTTATACGCTAGTGTAATTTTAATGTTTTTACTTACAAAAAAGAAAAACTCATGAAAATGTTATAATTTTAATCTTTTTAGTTCTGGTTCTTTTTTTTAATGTTGAACCCTGTTTAATGCTTATGAAATGAAATGCCAATGCCTCTACAATGTATTGAGTCTGTATACCTCACACTGTATTGAAATATATCTTAACTCTTAAAGAGTGTGATTGTATTAGATTTATTGTGTGCGTTATATTAGAGAGATTAGGGTTTCTCTACCTGGGGTACGCGTACTCCAAGGGTACGTGATATGGGGGGTCTCGGGGGCACGCGGTAAAAAGATGTAATGATTTACATTGTTAGATAGATTGAACATCATAAGAGAAAATGACGTCAGAATTTTTATTTACCGTATTATATAATTTAGGATAATATCCTTTTGTTCGTATGACGTCAAGATTTTCTATTAAGAGATATATCTACAAGATTTCTATTATGATTATATATAAATTATTTTTTACTGAATATTTTTATGTGATGAAATAACTCTTAAATTATGTATTTGTAAACAATTGTATTTGTTTGCCAATTATTTAACCACTTGATATTCAGCTGTGCTAAACTTTTGTAAAATGCACCATAATTAATTTAGTGATCATATTATAACAGACTTCGATTCAGTTTTTGTACACTGCATTGTCTGTCTCTATTTTTATCATCGTAATGATTTTTTTTTCATGAGCCCCTAGCTTGCTCTCAAAGTAAATAGGGCCATAGTTAATTATACTTTTTAAATGTATTTTAATGCATATATACGTAATTTTCAATGTACATCATTTTTACATAATTAGCAGAAAAAAAAAATCTGTAACGCAGTGTTATTATCATACATGTACATGCAGATGTGTTATAGTAATTATACACGTCAGGGAGTACGTGCGTGAAGCAGTGATGATAGAGCAAGAGATTCGCTCGTATAAGCACACACATATATATATACACAAACATGCATTTATATACAGTAGGAACCCGATTTAACGAATTCATCGGGACCGAAGATTTTGTTCGTTAAATTGGGATTATTTGTTATATCGGGGTACAAAAAAAAAAATACTTTTTGTACTTACCTTTTGGAAATTTTATAAGAAGCAACTACGCAAAACACATCCATAGTTAGAATTTACGCACTTTTTATTCAACAGCTAAGAATACTATTAGTGAATCATTACGCTCCAGTTAATTGGAAATTTTAAAATGCTGACTAATAGATGTTTGATAATCTTTTTGATTCCTGACTCGAATGAGTTCTTTTTCGACTTGATAAAGTGAAGAAAAAACTGCGTCATTTACATCCTGCTGCATGAGGTATGTATTCATAGTTTCCAAACAATGCAAAGCATTAGAAAACATAACAGTTTTGATAGGAGTATTATTATTAATTTCTACATCAGAATCTCTATTCGATAGCTCCGAATAATCAACAACTTCCTCAACTTTAGTTGCACATACAAGCAGTCCGTCATCAAATGTAACCCAATCGTTGAAATCTTAAAATGTCCGTAGCGTTTTGAAATGGGATGAGATAAGAAAGGAATTTCCTGTCTTATTCAAAATTCACACGATAGGTTACCCTCATGACTCATCTGCACCTGTAAAGTCTAATAATGTTCTGTACTTTTTCCCGTCAAAATTTGTTGTTTACAAGAAAAGTCTTTCTGTTTCAGACAAAAAGGATATGTCATGTGAAAAAAAATCCAATTCTTTTTAATACAAACTAATGAAAAAGTTTTTTCGACTGTTGAAATAATTCGTTAATTCGGGCCTTATTATTTATTAAATAGGGCCTTCACTTTAATCCGGGAAAAAGAAAAATTCGTTAAATAGTGAAATTCATTAAATAGCGGTTCGGTAAATCGGGGTCTGCCTGAATATATATTTTCAATATGATACGATATTGTAAGATGTCTTACCTTTTTGTAATTATAAGTACCATGATAAGGGAAACATGTGTATCGAATAGGTAAAAAAAGTTTGCTATACACTGCTATAATGAATATACTTAACTATTTTCAATTAAAATAGTTTATTTGATTTAAAGTCTATGCTTTTTGAGAAATATCGCTAATACACAACTCTCTGTCACACACACACACACACAAATTCATTCACATCAGAAAACTTTCTTTTTTTATTTATTTCCTCTTATTCATTCTTATTCATTAAATAAAAATTCGGATTCAGAATTTTTTTTCGAAAAGTTTTTGAAAATTCAAGATATAATTTCTTAAAATCCATTTCCTTTAATATTTAAGCATTTTCCTTTGAAAAGTAGCATTTTGAAATGGGGGGGGGGGCCCTAGAGGGCCCAAAGCCTGACTTTGCAGGGAGGGGGGGTGTCCTAATATTCTTCGTTACGCCACTGGATATCTTCCTTGCAAGTAAGTTATCACAAATTCCATTTTCACTCAGTCATTAAGTTGAATTTTGGATGATATTCCTATAGATTAAAACGAAAATATGAGTGAAACTCTCTTGTGAGTTCGAGTGAAATGAGCATGAACTTTAATTAAATACAGGTAAATTTATAATAAACTGAATAAAGCAATGCAAAATAGTCAACTGAATATTCTTATCATTGGCGTAACGAAGAATATTAGCCCCCCCCCCCGGCAATGTCAGGTTAGGGCCCCAAGCCGTACTTGGCGTCAGTCAGGCCTTAGGCCCCCTAGAATCCTGCCCACCCCCACGATGTAGGGGTTGCCGAGCTATGCGTTACGCCACTGAGAAAAATAAGAGAAAATAATTTTTTTTTGTTCATCTCTCCTCCTTCAGTAAAGGTTGGTTACCCGAACAGGTCAATCTAATCAACCCCAGTGTTAATGATTCGAATCAGATGTTGTGTGGGAAGTCTGATCACACACACACACACAATGAAGCAACACTTTTATTATTTAAAACTGTGTTTAGAATATGCGTTAGAAAATTAAGTTCCTTCAACTCAGTTAGTGAGTCATTCTCAACCTTCTTTTTGCCACGGTACACTTCAAACAATTTCAAAATTTGGCGGTACGCTAGCAATAAAGTTTAAAAGAATT